TTTAATTATAAGTGAATATAAACGTCATGAGTAAAATGAATAGGTTTGGAATTTAAAGAATGAGTTACACTGATTTTGTGAGAAATAGTTTTCATAGGAATAAGTCGTCGAAAATGACGTTTTCAATCAGTCGTGTTAAAAATTTATGGATCTGTTCGTTTGTTGAGCAGTATTTAGATATGCGAACTGTTGTAACTGCTTGTCTTTTGCTGTTTTTTTTATTTGAAAGAATAGATAATAGAAACTAAAGAAGATAATTTTCGTGTATCAGTGTAAATTGTTAAATGCATCGTATTGTTTATAATACTCTTTGAAGAATTTACTGAATGTATTTGTAGCTTAATATAAGAAGTCAAAGTTTGAACATGGTGATAATTAACGAATTGACCTTTTTAACATGTAGTAAAAGATAATAAGACTGAGAAGAAAAATGAAAAAAAGAAAATTTAGACAAAAAATTTGCCTGAATTAAATTTAAAAAGAAGAATCGTCCTGTCGACTTCTTTTAGCTATTAAACGTGATGACTGTTTTCGTTGTTGTTGTTGTGGTGATGGTGGCAGTTTTCTTTTTTTGTTCTTGGCTAATGCAGTTGATGGTTCTTCTCTGTTTGTCGCATCTCTCAATGCTGCATTTTGAGAATTCGAAGAAGTACGAGATTTTGTTTTTGTGTTAGATTTTGTTTTGATTCTTGAAAATATAGACGAGATTGATGGTGTCTCAATAGCAATATCCATTTGTTCAGGTTCATGCACTTGTATTAATGGATTATCAGACGGTTGTTGTTCTTCTTGTTCGTCTATTATTAATGGAATTGATTGTGGTGATGTAGGTGATTGATTTTCTTTATTGTTCAATATTATAGATGATTGAATAATTTCTGTCGTTGTTGCTGATGTAGAATGAACCTGTAAGTTTGACGTGGATGGCATATTGACAGAATCGATAACGTTTGTTGCTTGAATTTGAGAATGTTTTATTCGATCTTCGAATGTGAAATGCCATGAATTTAATATAATTCGTAGATTTTTACCAAGTTCATCTCCATTTTGAAAAAATTCACCATATAGTAAATGAGAAGTATGATTGTTTTTAGCAAACTTAATTCCAAACACATTATATAACGATAATAATAATGCTAATGCTGTTGTAGGACTTGTTGTTCTTATAATTAATTTCCAATCGAGGTATAATTCAAATTTTTCATTCGTAACTTTAATACAGGGTGATGGAACAATTGGCTCCTACATAAAGTATACAATAGAAAAGAGAATGGTATTTGTAAAAATAAATGAATAGTTTAATCCTAAAACTAAATCTTACATTATCAACTAATATATGACTGATAGATTGATTAAATTGTTTACACAATAATTTTATTACACGAATTGGTAACAAATCTAAACATAATAAAAATATGAAATATGAATAAAGATTTTTTTGTTGCTCTGATTCAACTGTTGTTATTTTTCATTAATAAATAAGATCAGACCGATTAAAGACAAAAGTTTAGCAATAAAGATTCTCTTGAAATAATTAATTTTCATATATATATAAATCTTTTATCGATCATATTAACAGAAGACCATACTTAATTTTTTAACTTTTTACATCGTACTCACCCATAACAAATAATGAATTATTCGGTAATTTATCAAATAAACGTGGTAATATTTCATTTACATTCTGCTCAATGTCAATGTTTTCGATCATTTTGACTTCTTCAAACATCTAAGAAATAAAGATGATAAAATTCTGAGAGAAAAACATATTTTTAAAATAAACTTACGAAATGTGTATATAAGTAACCGGGAAATTTATCTAGTATTTCATTAATGGTGTGTGAACGAATGAATGACCGACGATAACCAAACGTTTTTTTCCATAATGTAATTTATTCATCGTTATGTATTGTTTCATTTTCAATACCTTCGTTCATTGTTATGATTAATTGTTCAACATCACTTTCATCCATAATAGTACTAACATAAATCTAAAACAATGAAGAACATTATTTTGTATGCTAATTTTAGAATTAAATTTCAACTGACTATTTTATCAGATTTTCGTTCAGCAGATAGTGCTTCACTTTTTTTTGCAAAGCGTCCAGAACTTTTTCCAAATTTTTCTTTTTTTTTCTGGACTACTGCAGATGTGTTTTGTAAAAGTCGACGTTCATTTTTGAACTTCTGTTTTACTGCTTCTCGCCATTCATTCTATGAATAATTTGTTCGAGAAAATTATAAGAACAAATATTTTCTTACAGCTGCATTTGCATCTGTTGTTGAAATATTTAATGCTTTGAGCAAAGCTTGTGTAATTAAAAAATAATCATTTGCTTTAGGATATCTATCGTGAAAAAAAAACAAAATTTGATTTTGAATGTACAAGATTCATTTCTATTATTTTATACAATAAATTATATGTGGTAGCAACAGCTTTAAACACAAAGTTGAGCAGTATTCGTCTATGATTTGTATGTCAACGGAGTTTCATTAACTCATTATCATCAATAATCACTTGTATTTCTTCTGGTAGTGATGAAAATGCAAAATCAGTTGGCAAATTCTGATGAGGTTCTTCTAAATCATCAGTTTCATCATGATTAACCTCATCATCGATATTTGATGCTGCATCAAATTCGTCACCATTCATATTGTTACTAGATAATGATGGATTATTTAGCAAATCTTGTGTTGAAGTTGTTGATTGTGATGCCGTGCATGTATCAAATGTTTGTTTGCTAGATTGATTCAAAATATCTCCATCATCTAATTGTTCATTTACAATATTATTCCATTGTTTGATCAATAAATCACGTTTTTCAGTGAATAATACTCGATCTTTTAATTTTGGAAATAATGTACGTACTTCATCGTATGGCAATCTTGCTAATGTAGCTCCATCAATTTCCTCTTCTAAATAAAAATTGAAGAAATGTATCAGTAAAACTATATGGGAAAGGCATGTGGATAAGATATGATGAAAGCTCTGATTGGTTGTAAACAAAAGAAAAACATGAAATAGATATGAAATGGAAAGAAAAGAAAATATCCATTAAATAACATCAAACAGTCAAACGAGATAAAACATTAACATAAGCAGAACCTTGAACATAATAAATATCTAGTCCATGAGGCAAAATGTGTAGAAGTTGATCCAAGTCTAATAGATCGAATGTTTTACAAAATTCGATCTCGTATGCCCAAAGTGTTTCATTGAATCCTATCACTTGTAAATGTTCAACAACTGCTTTCCAAATATTTTGTATTTTCAAGAAATACAGGATAGAAACAAAACATGGTTCTTCTTCTACATCAACTAATCTTTCAACAAATACTGATTGTCTCATCATCATAACATTTTTGTTATAAATTATTTTACATTCATCAAATATGTTTTGATTAATATTATTTTCTGTTAATAAACGTTGAACAGGTATTGGTAATGAAGAATATTGGATGGGTTTTAACAATGTTATCTCAGTACATATATTATAATAATTCTTATTGGATAACATTAGACATTGTCGAAGTTGATGTCTTTTGGCAAGAGTAAATGCTGGATTTTTGAAATTCAACGATCTAATAGCCAATCTCTTGAAATACGAGTGTTTACCTTCAAACCGCATACACCAAAAACGAGTTGCTGGTCCATTTGCATTAATTGTTCTCAGATACTCAGTGACAAAATGAATTTTCGGTATAATGAGATAGGGTAAATGATGAGCCATTAACGACTGAAAACGTATTGTTAACGATTGAAAGTACATTAACCAAGATTTTCTGAATTTTATTGAGTAAGTATAACTAATTATTTCACGTAGGCAAGTATAAATATCTAACGTATTTGTTAGTTGATCAATGACATCGTGAAATATGAATGGCATTAATTTAAATAAGCATAGTTTCTGGCTTGCTGAACCAATTATATTATTATTTGTAAGATGTGTTGCACGAATTGTAGGCGGTTTATTCACCTGATCATTCATTCCGTAACTAAATGTATGAATTTTTTGTTCTATTTGATTATATGTCATGAGACGTTTCGCTGAGACTTCTTTTAACATAGCTAAAACTATGAGCGGGCACACGCCTAAATAATGTGAACACAGAAAATAACTTATAGCAATTAGATAAAAACAACATTCTTATTTATACCCTCCGCATAATCATGCATTAAATCATTTGGCAAAGATTTGATTGCATGAAAAGCAATCAATTTGGACAAAGGACTTTCGCCTACAACACCAGCAACAGGTCTTGTATTAAACAAGTTTACAGCTTGTTGAACATATGAACCATGTGTAGTTACTGTGCGTGGTAGAAATGAAATCTCTGTTAATGGAATCAATCTGAATTTATAAGAAATGTGACATAATCGACAAAATTGTCCCGAATTAAAATTTTGTTGAAATCCGCCAATTTCATGAGAAGCAAGATTGTCAGCTGCGAATAAGCTAAATGCAAAATGTAATCGTCCATTGAATGTTTGAACAACTAAACCAGTTGTTTGTAAATGATTCAAATCTTTTATAATAGGTTCAAAAAATTTCATACGATTTGTTTGTATCGATAAAAATTTTGTCGGACATATTCCAACTAGACCAATCGATTGCAACATGGATTTTACAAAATCTGGTAAATCTTCTAAAAGGAAATAATATAAAGTAAGTTTATGTTTGTCCTTTTTTGGACCTAGGGGATTTGTTATTCCAATTCCGTCTGAATAGAGTTGAATTAAAAATGAATTAGGATGAAGTTTTAATGAAGGATTGTCTTTTGCTGCAGTACCGTCTCGGTACGTTAACATCAAATCAGGATCATTCTTCGTTTGTGATATATTATTATTCACATTATCAATTAAATAATTAATAACATCTGGTTTGTTCAATAAATTCTGAATACTTCTTTCAATTGGAACATAATAACCACAATTATTTTTATCATCTAGTTCAATTTTTAATGGCTCTGTGTATCCAAAATAATCTGTACAGCGTTTCAGGAATTGATAGTCGTTTTTAGAAATATCATATATTAAGTTTTTTATTTGTAATATTACTTTTCCTATATCAACTAATGAGATTAATGGATTTGTTGATGATTGTATTGCTTGATTTTCGATTAGTTTAAATAATGCGTCCAGCATAGTTGTGAAATAAGATGTGATTGATTTAATGATGCCTTGTGGTAATAAATGTCCTTCACGTAAATCAAGTAGGAAATGAGTGTAATGTTTTTCAAATGAACTGAAAGTAAACTCCTTATTATGATCTTCTGTATTGATTAAATCTGTGAATAATGACCAATCAATAAGATTTTCATTTATATTTGTATCTTCCAACGTCTCTGATTCACCCTCATCTGAACTTTCTTGTCCAACAATACGTTCATCTTCGTCATCTTGATTAATATTTGAATTTGATGACGAGAATGATAATAATTGTTCATTTTCATTCAATGTAAAATCAGCTGGTATATCATA